GTGATTATTTCTTCCACTTTTCCATCTTTGTTCTTTCATGTCTGGAGTGCTTCCCTCCCCCGATGTGGACTTCTTGGATTGATCCCCTTGTTTCTTTTCTTTTCTTTTTCTTTTTTTTTGAGACAAGGTCTCCCTATGTAGTTCAGCCTGGTCTTGAACTCACTATGTAGCCCAGGCTGGCCTCACACTCATGGCGATCCTCCTACTTCAGCCTCCCAGTTCTGGGATCACAGGCATGCGCCACCACACCCAGCAATCCTCTTGTCTCTTGCTCACTCCCCTTACCTTTTTCTTTTCATACTACTTTTGATGCCTTTTCCTTCACACTTTTCTCCAACCCTCCTGTTGACATTTGGGCTATCAAGACTTTTAAAAAAAAAAAAAAAAGACTTTTCATTTCCAAGAGCCCTTTCAGTTTTTAGAGATTGTTCCTCTTTATTTATTATTATTATTATTATTATTATTATTATTATTTTGTGGTGATGGAATGGAAACCAGAGCCTCCTGTATGCTAGGCAAGCACTCACCACTGAGCTACATTGCATTCGAGGAATTCTATGTAGCCATGAAAAACTGTATATCTTTCCACAATAGCCAAAATGTGAAAACAGCCCAAATATCTATGGATGGACAGACAGATGGACATAGTGAGGTCCAGCCACACACTACAATGTTACTCAGAAAAGGAGCGAGGCTGTGACGCTCACCACAGCATGGATGGACCCTGAGGACACCGTGCTCAGTGAGAGACGCCAGACACAGAGGACACAGCATGGGCTCTACAGACAGGAAATGCCCAGGACAGGCGACTCCAGAGACAGGAAGTGGACTGGGGTGCTGGGGCTGGGGAGGGGATAGTGTTTCTGGGGTGATGGGGTGTTCTGAACTAGTCAGAGATTATGGTCATACAATATTATGTTTTTGTTTTTGGTTTTTTTGTACTGGGGATTGAACTCAGGTCCTTGCACTTGCCCAGCAGGCGGTGAAACCACTGAGCTAAATCCCCAGCCCATTGTACAATATTATGAATGTACTAAGTGCCAATAACATGTGTACTTTGAAATGGCTGACAAGGTCAATTTTTTTTTTTTTTTTTTTTGGTACTGGGGATCGAACTTGGAACGTTGCACTTGCAAGGCGGGCAGCAGAACCACTGAGATAAAGCCCTGGGCTGACAAGGTCAATTTTATGTCTTTTACTACACTTAATAAATAGATGTGGCTGGGTGCAGTGGCACACGCCTATAATCTCATCTACTCTGGAGGCTGAGGCAGGAGGATCTCAAGTTTGAGGCCAGCCTGGGCGACTTAGCCAGTTTCTTGTCTCAAAATAAAACAAGTAAAAGGGATGGAGATGTGGCTCTGTGGTGGAGGATTTTCCTAGCATGCGTGAGGCCCTAAGTTTCATCTCCAGCACTGATAAAAAGGTGTGTCTCGTAAAATCATCAGAAAAATTAGGGGACAGGAATTTAGCTTAGTGGTGCCACCGCCTGCCTCACAAGCACAAGGTCCTGAGCTTGATCCTCGGTACTGAAAAAAACAAAACAAAACACAGTAACTTCAAGAACCAGGTGATATATCAAAGTCATTATAATGTCCAGTGAGGGAAAAGCTGGAATCAAAATAGTATAAATGGCCCATCTGTAGCTAACAGTGTATTTTTCAAGAGCTGGTAGGAAATAGAGTTTGATGGCAATTGATTAATTTGTTTCCCCTTTTCCATTTTTTTCTGAATTTTCAAGGTTTTTTAAAAAATAGGAAAACCTCACTATATTAGAAAAACTGAATTGTGGTAAAATATATATAGAATTTGCCATGTTAACCATGTAAGGGCCTAGTTTAGCAGCATTAAGTGAACTCAGCCGGCTGTGCGGCTGTCCCCACTGTCCACCCCCAGCTGAGCTCTGTCCCCAGAAAACGCTGACCCTCATCTCCTCCCCAGCCCCGCACCACTGTCCTCCTTCCTGTCCCTGTGAGTTTGACCATGCTGGAGCCTCCTGGAACAGGGGTCAGAGTCGCCCTCCTTTTCATAGCAGTGTAATAGTCCATTGTGTGGCCAAGCCACATCATTGTGCCTCCCTCCCTCCCTCCCTCCCTCCCTC